ATGGTTTATATTATTGGGACGATTTGAAATAGGGTTCGGCGTATTGCGAAAACAATTCTGTAAAGAACGGGTATTGCATGTCATAGAATATTTTCCGTGTACATTATGATAAATTAGGGAAAGAGGATGTTTGCTACTGATTTGTTATCTAGTATTATTATTATATAATGGAGATGATAATTATGCATCGCCGAATAAACGATACGCTTTGACCGACATGATTGTCCTTGACCAGACAATGTTATTTATTGTGAGTTATAGTTAAATACCAAAATAGACTCGGCAAAAAAAAAAAAGCATTCAAATATACACCAATCGACGAAAGGGATTGATGTATATGTAGATTGTTATTGGTTATGTAATTAGGTTATTCACGAGGAAATCTTTCTTTAAATAAAAATTCAGATGATCTTTCATTACGGCATTGCGCCATTGAGACTCATCAAAGGGATATACAAACGTAATAGAAAACCGGATGACTGACCCGTAATTTGCGAGATTATATAGTGTATAATCGGATTGCAGACCCATTTACAGAATTTAATGAGCCCCCGTCCTCAAATAGCAAGTGATGGATATATTTAGTTTAAGGCGTTCTTTGAATAAGTTTATCATTATACGTCCCTCGATTCTCTCTTTTTTTTTTTTTTAAATGTCAAAAAACTGCCATGTCATTTTCACAGGATATTCAATGCACAGCGTCAAGCAAGGCTCTCCGATATCAATCACTGCCCATCTGTATTATCTTGTTGCATATCGGTTACTATTGTTTCTGCTTTTATATACATTAAATAACACAACATATTAAGTCTCTAGTCCAATTCGGAAATTGTGCTGAAGGTTTCATAAAAAACCTTAATCATATCTACATCTCTATTATTATACGTTCATCAATTGACATCATGTCCCCTGCAAGAATGACTTTCGGGAAAGCCACTCGAAAAAAAATTTTTTTTTTTCCTTTCTTCTTCCCATTTTCTCACAAACCTTTTTCTCAAACAAATTCCAAGACCCTTCAGGTATCCATGCATCTTGCTCAAGAAGGAATGGGACCAAAAGTGCAAACAACGACTCAACTTTCCACGATGCATACATCGCATACTGTCACATACCGCTCACAATTCTTGACAGCTAGTGACATTTTGTTTCATGCTCGAACGATTTGCAAAAGCCCTCATTCGTGCGTTAGTAAAAAAATTGGATAGAATGGGTTTAGTATCAGTATCAGTATCAGTATCAGTATCAGTGTCAGAGTCCGCAGCGGATTGGGTGTAATAAATTTGTATGGGCCATGCAGCATCGATAAAAGTTTGCGTTTTGTTTCTCTGTTTCTATTCTTCTCTTTTTCTATTCTTCTCTTTTTCTCTAGTTTACCGCCTTGCTGTGCTTTACTTTGCTTTGCTTTGCTTTGCTTTACTTTACTTTGCTTTGCGCTTGCTTGTATTTATTATTATTTAGTATTAGCGGATTATCACATATAAACTGGGGTGGTGGGTTGGGGTGCGTGGTAATTAATTTTGGGGGTGAGGAGGTTACTCGAGTTTTGTTTATAGTGGGGATTAAAATAAAAAGGAAGGGAAACAGAGAATGAGGCTGTTGTCGTTGTTTAACAGTGGGTATGCAGGTGCATATTCCTTAAGGGAATTTGTGTCAATGAGTTTATAAGTTTAGCTTTTCATATATACAATTTTAGACTATTGATCGATGTAATAATTCTGATTGGCGATTATTTTATACTAATACCGGATATTTAAGGTTTCATATTTTTTGACACTTTTTTTTTTTAATTAAATTAGTTTATTTATGTACATTTATGTAAATTATACTTGTTCATGTGTAATGGAAATTGTCCATTGATATATTCTCGGAATCTATGCACAATGTCTTTATCCGACATGCTGTAAGTGCATGCACGGAATCCAATATTTGAACCGTCCCCTCTGAGCGTAAACGTGTATTTTTTCCCCCATCTCTGACCTTTGCTGGCAGATGATTCATCTCTTTACCAAAAAACAAGTACCATTTCTTTTATAGCAAAAAAACAATACTAAAACATTATTCTATTCTTTTGTACTTGACCTTCTTTGCTTCTTCTCTTCTTTCATTCATAATTCATCATCAGTAATGTCCAATAACAACAACAAGAGTAACAAGAATAACAACAATAACAATAACAACAACAATAACAATAACAACGACAACTACAGCAACAGCAACAACAGCAACAACAGCAATAACAAAAACAGCAATAACGATAATAATAACCGCGATGACAACTACAACTACAATAACAAATACAACATATCAATCACATCCCAGCAATCAGAAGACATAATAGATTTAGAAGATTACTATCGACGCAGATCTAGCCGCTCCGAAACCAAAGATATCTTTGACATTGACAACATCGCTTGCTCAAAATGTGGTAACAAGAGAACCAGTCTATGGTGTAATGACTGCGAAAGACGCTACTTTAAATTAGCCTTCTCTACCTGGACAAGCGGAAACAAGCTCGTAGATAAATTTGTGCAGGACATTCAAATAAACGCACAATCTTGTGCACAGTATATCGAATGGATACCATTCGATCGATTGACGATAATTAGCTATGTGGCAAGCGGCGGCTCGGCCCGGACGTTTCTAGCTAAATGGAAAGATGGGCCGTTGTGGAAATTTGACAAGAAGACCGGAAGGAGAGTGAGAAGTGGGCCTAGAAACGTGATTGTAAAACAGATAAAAAATGGTGTTGAACTTACCAGTGAATACTTGAACGAGGTAAGAACCGGGGGGCGGAAGTAGTAAGAAGGACCCATTTTGCGATTGATGGATTATTCAAATGAATATATTGTTTCATTCATACGTATAACGTATAACGTATAACGTACAACTCTGCTCGTACGATGTAACCCTGCCATACATGTATAACCCTTCTCTTTACCTTTTTTTTCCTCGTCCGTTCTCTTAGTTAAAGTCTTACTTCAAGTGTGTGAGTTGGGACGATCATCTTCTTCACTACTTTGGTATAACAAGAGATCCATCAACTGAAGAATATGCAGTGGTTGTAGAATATGCAAAGCTTGGCAGTTTACTAGATTACCTCTACAAAGACACTAACCTCACATGGTCACGCAGGCTATCCATACTTAATGACATTGCACTAGGACTATACAACATACACGCCAAAAACGTAATACACGGCGACATTCACAGCGGCAATGTTCTCATCTACGATAGCAAGAAATCCCGCAAGGGTAACGGCGACATCTACACCGTAATATCAGACCTCGGGCTCAGTCGATCGATATTGCGCAGCCCATTTTCATTAGACCAAGTATACGGGATCCTTCCCTACATTGCACCCGAGATTCTCATCGGCGGCGACCAGACCATCTCATCCGACATTTACTCTTTCGGCCATATAATGTACGTGCTGTCTACGGGTCGACAGCCGTTCGCCGATTATCTTTACGATAAGAGTCGGTTAGCGCTCAGTATCTGCGGTGGGCTTCGTCCTAATATTCCGGCAGATACGCCGGCGGATTATGCGATATTGATGAGGCAGTGTTGGGATGCCGAGCCGAGTAGGCGGCCGGATGCTTTTGACTTGGTGACTAGAATTGGGACTATCAGGAGGACATTGTCGGCTGATGAGGTTGTGAGGAGGTTGGTGAGAAAAGGGAGGACTAGCAGAGTTGATGAGATTGATGATGGTTGTAAGAGTAGTTGGGTGGATGTGTCTACATTGAGAGGGACAATAACGCTGAGAGGTATGTGAAACGGAAGGAAGGAGGGG